TGGAGTGGGAGCTTTTGAAAATGACAGCGGCCACGCAAACAGCAGGTGAATTGGTGGGAAGAGAGGAAAAGGGGAGGTCTGCCGTGGAGGTGGGAATGGCAGATATAAAAGGACATGTTGACCCGATACTGGGGGTCTGGGAGATGATATGGGTAGAAGCCCCATGGACTGGTAAATGGGAAACTGTGAGGGTTCCTTGGGAGGAGGCAGACTGCCGGAGGAGGAGAGGTCTGCCACAGCATCTTTCCTATTGGGGAGAGTCTGAGGCCCGGGAGTGGCGCAGATGTCTCAGGGAGGAGAAAGAAGCAGTATCCAGAGAAGAGAGAGAACATCGGGCATGGTGTTTAGAGGAAGCCCGGAAGAGGGGCTACTTAGCAGTCCCTGGACCCCTCTATGAGGAGAGGAGAGGAGGATGACTATGGGATGGAGGGCCCCAGATGATGAAACCACGCCGCTTTTAAACCCAGAGACTATGGTTCCAGACTTTGAGGATAGTAACCCGTTTTTGAGGGGACCTTGGGATGAGTTGTTTAACAACCCCTTTCTTAAAGATGTTTGGATGCCCTCGCCGGACCTATTGGCGACGAGAGAGAAGATTGAAACTAAGGTTGCACAACAAGATTTATTGTTAAATGTTCCAATAAAAACTAGTTATGATTTTATAGCAGATGTGTCTCCAGAGTCTCAGTTCGACACTGGGGAGGTAAAATTGAACCCCCACAAAATGTTGTATAGTTGAAAGTAGAATGACTGATTTTCCTGAGTCATTGTACTGATTGTATTCAGGTGTAGTTACCAAGGTTTGAAACTTAATGTTGTACAGCTGTGGTACATGGTGAAACTTTGTGTAACTGAAAATGAAGTATTTTCTGATTGGTCCCAGAACAGTACATACGTCATGTGTAAAGGGGACATTTTATCTGCTTTAAGTTAGAACACTATTTTCATATGCTATGTGTTGTATCATGTCATGTTATGCTGCCAGATGAATGTCTATTCTCTCTGTATATATGTTAATAGACTAAGTTGATATTTTACTCTCTCAGGGTTATAATGTCTATGCAAACCAGTATCTCTGTACTCTGCTAATGTTCTGAGAATACACATTTAACCAACATTCTCAATAAAGGAGATACAACATGGCACATATTTATACATGGCTTCAAAGAATGAAGCCAAAGTACAACAATGTTTCTCCTTCCTTTTTCTCCTCCCACCCCCAAAATAAGGCTTCTAGGGTATGGATTTTGATGGTGTTCAGCTCCTCCTAAGCACACTTAAGGAGGCAATCTCCCTAGTCCATGGGTCTTCCTTCGTGACATTTTCCCACTCCTGCTGGCGTTCTTGCTCTTCAAAGATCACCACTTCTTCCTCCACAGTGTCACCCCAACTCTCCTCCTCTTCCTCTAATTCTCCTTTTTCCTCAGTTTCCAGGGTTGCCGCCTCCCCCTCCCCTACTTTCTCAGATAACTTCATCTCCTGTTCCTATCCTCTCTTTTATATCTATCACCACCCATCGCCCTTTTATCTCCTCCAGGGATAATACTTCCATTCCCACCTTTTCTCTTTCCCACACTTTCTATCCCCCCCCCTTGTTCCTCATATTCAAACATTTTCTCTCCCATGTTTACTGGGAAACTAAAGTTTGGAAACCTGGTGAGTTCCAGGGAGAGGCGAGACAGCCTGCTGCCAAGGGCCTTGTCATCTCTGTCAATCTTCTGCTTCTCACAGGCAGCTATAAAGGAACTAAAAAAATATTCTAAAGTATAAAGATCTGCTGAAAACCATAGCCAAGATCATCCATACTATGTTATTCCTGACTATTACTTACAGATGTGAGAAATGGACAGCAAAAGCAGCAGGAACAAAATTAAAATGGGATTGACTCAATAAAGAAAAACAGTCTGCATTTATCTGAGCAGAGCTGTTAATAGGAAGACCTCATGATACATGATAGCATATAACAAGCAATATTAGTCTTCCACATTCTACCTACAGTACTTGATGGCTGGGATAACAATTTCAGAATTGACCATTGGTCACATTGGCTGTGGCTGATGAGAGCTGAAGGTCAAAGCAAAGGGAGAGATTGTGGGAGTCCCATCTATATGAACATGTAAGAGTCTGAAGCAGACAGCAGAGGCCCAGAGCTATGGGACTACCCCTGAAGAGAGTTCTTGATTAGCTGGCACTTCAGAGGATATTGGAAGAGCTCCACAGGAGTTTTGGGGGCCTTTAGGCTTCAAATTCCCCTGTACTGTGCTTTAATGTTATTTCTTGCAGTGAAGCCTCCTCCAGTCCAAAGCATATAATGTACAGTACTGGCAATTCAAAAGGACAATCTCCTCCATTCACTTGTCTGTCCCTTACTGCTGCTTAGCAGAACGAGTCGGGCTTATTACTGCCACCCAGATTAGTAAAGAATAGAGGCACCTCATCCTAGGTGAGGTGAATGATGGTGGAAGGATGTATCCATCACTTCCATTATCCCAATTAATTGCTGCCAAGAGAAGTAGAATGGAGATGATGGCAGATTCTGTTTGCAGTCACCTCTGCTGACTCATGTACCCTCTGGGTGTTGAGGTAAGCCCAGATTCAACTGACATACTGCCCAGAGAAAAAGGGAAGAGGTAGTAATGGTTGCTTCTGTCATCCATTCTGCTCATTTGCCTAGTTGAGTGAACAGCAAGCAACAACAGCAGCTGCTCTTCTCCCCCTGGTAGTGCTGGGCAAAGACTGTATCTGTTAAATTGAGTTTCAATCTCTACACCACCCAGAGAGAATGGAGGCTTGTAATAGCCTTTTCTTTCCCCTGCCTGTCTGGTTGAGCAGTGAGAAGCTGCAACCAGCTGCTGCTTTCTGCTTCTTGCTACCATTTATTTTGGGGCAACAGATTAAGGGGAAAATGGACTTTCTGGAGAATGAGGTGGACAGGGACAAAGACCATGGGACCCAACAAAGCCACATAGCTCATGATACACCAAGTGTGAAATCAGCCTAGTTTTAAAAAAAAAACCTAGAAAACTACTTTGAGGAAATGTTAGAAGATATACATGCCTGTAAACTATGTGGCAATCATATGTATGAATGCAAGACCTGTGCTAGAATAGAGCCAAGGTTCTTTTTAAATCCAACATTGTTTCTATGGTGACTAAGTAAATGCTCATGGGAAGTCTACATTCAAGACATGAGAATAGCAACATTTTTTTGCTCATGGAATTCAACAGAAATTGGGATACATATTTTGTCCGATAATGGTGGTAACATGTAGCCATAATCATTCACCAAAGCCACTATTCTCCATTAATTTATCCAATTTCCTTTTAAAACTGATCAAGGATGCAGTCATAATTGTACCCCATGATACTGAATTCCATAGTTTGAATACCGTGAGTTTGAATGCAGGACAGATAAAGTAGTTCCCTTTATCTGTCCTGCATCTCCTACCATTCAGCTTATTTGGACAATCTTGTGCAATTTTTGAACAATCTTCCCGTATAAGAGAAAAACATATTCACTCTCTCTACACCATGCACAATTTAATATACATTTAAATATACATTTATCATGTCCCCATTCTGTCTAAATTGTTGGTTGCTTTATCTTTATTTTGATTTTGTATTGTTATGTTCATTGTTGGTATCGTGTATGTTTTGCGTATTTGTCTAACATGTAAACTGCCCAGAGTGGCCTAGTAGTCACATGGGTGGTATAGAAGCTGAATAAATAAATAAATAAAAATATACAGCTCCTTGTAAGATGAAGAGTTACAAGTGAGTGTGCAACCAACATATATGGGACTCAATTTACTGTTTCAGTCTGGATCACTAGTTTGGAGACAAGGTTGCTCAAGTACTCCAGTCATCTGAGAAGCTCTGAGAAGGCAGCAGCCTTTCCTTTATTCTTGCTGCCTCCCCTGAGCTGGCCTGTCCAGTGAACAGAGATGGCAGCAGCCTAATTGAGCTGCCCCTTCTTGCTGCCTCCCCTGAGCTGCCCTGTCCAGTGAACAGACGCGGCAGCAGCCTAATTGAGCTGCCCCACCCCCATTTTGCACCCCTTCCTTCCCCCTCATGGACTGTCTCGTTACTTCCATCTCCAGCTTTACCTTGCCCTGAGCTGGCAAAGCTCTCTCCCATACACCATGTGGCACAACTCCCACATTCCCTTCTTTACCATCCACCCCTTACCATCTCCTTCTACTTGCTTCACTTCACTGCATGCCTATGCCCTATAAAGTAGAGTTGGTTGGTTGCACAGAGTGGTTGGTATTGCCATAAAAAGTGGACATATTGGTGGTGCCACTACTATGGCAAGAGGAATAGAGGAACAGGAAGGAAAGCAGGGAATGCAGGAATCAGCAGCTCACAGTAGGCGAGGTGGCCCTTTGCCTTCTTCCTCAATCAAGGAGTGGGATTGCTCAGGCTAGTGCTCCTTTGAACTATTCCTCTCTTGGAGTCCATCACTTCCACTGTACTGCCACACAATCTCACCTCAAACTGCAACCACATCACCTTCCATTTTGCTACACCTGTTTTTCTTTTCCTTTCTCCTCAGCTCATGCCACTGCCTTATCCACCTCATTTGTGTGTGTAAGGCGGCGCCAGGTGGGTTGCTGCCGCCTTTGGCATGAGGCAAGGAGCAGGAGGAGAGGAAGGTGAGGCAAAGTGGGAGCTTCATTGCTTTTCCTAAGTAAGGTAGGCAGTTCTTGGCGCTCTGCGCTGGAGGCGGCTGCCCCATCCTATCTGGGCAGGGCAACTTTTGCCTGCAGAACAAGCTTCATGGGTTATAGGTACAAGGAAATAAAGAAAATGTGTCAGACGACGACCACCGTAAAGGGGGCACGAGTGGGTAGAGCTTGCTTTCTCAGTACTGAAAAAAGGGTACATTTTCCCCACAGGATGAGTGACCACGTGATGTTACTCGGTCCCCCTCACGGATGTCTAGCAAGCAGAGGCACACGCACGTGCGGGAAAGGGTCCGCGAGCCAAGCCGCCGGCGTGGGGCCTCGGGGGTGGGTGGCAGCGAATGGGACCGTAATGCCGAGAGGAGGCGCGAGGAGGTCGTTGCGCCCCCCAGAGGCCGCTCGCGGAACCAGGGCACGGCTCGTCCTGTCCTTCCCATCTTCGCCCACGGAGCCCCCTTCGTCCCCCCCCCTTCGGGCGCGGATCTCGGTCTCGGCTATGCGTGGCCGTAATTTTCTCGCAGCCCCTTCTCTGTCACCAGCAAAGTCTCCGAAATGGCCGAGGCGGCGGGAGTCTCCTGGCATAGGAGGGGGCACCTCCTCCCTCCATTGGCTCCGCGGCACCCGACATCGCCATAAATGCCTCTCCCGAGCCTCCTGCTGCCCCCTCAGCAGAGACACCTTCCAGAAGGGCGAGCGGGCGCGAGTGGCACTTGCCGCCGCCTGCTGCGAGTTCCTGCGCTTCCACGGTGTCCAGGCAGGCTCGGGTGTCTCGACTCACTCACTCTCTCTCTCTCTGTTTCCGGGCCGCTCCCCGCGGGGGACTCAAGCGTTGCTGCTTGCCTTGAATGGTCCCTGCGGCTGCCATGAACCAGGCCCCGGACCCCAATGGCCCTGACCAGCCCGACAAAGATGCCCGAGGCTCGGCTCCTCTCCAGCCGGGCGCCAGCACCGGTCCCAGCGGGGGGATGCCGCAGACGCCCAACCTGCCTCACCTCATCCACAAGTAAGAGCCGTCCCTACGAAGTTTGTGGGGGGGGGGGAAGAAGAGGAAGAGGAAAAGGGGCTCCTACTCCCCTGTGGTCGGTTGTTCCGTCTCTCCGCCCTCTTCGGCTCTGGGAAGCGGCGCCCCAGTGGCCCGGGGGAGGGGGGCTTCTGCTTCGCCAGGTTCCCCCCCTTTCTGGTTGCTTGGCAATTTCCGCGCGTTTTCCCCCCGTGGAGTATTTCCACATGCATGGACAAAAACGGGATCCACAGCAGGGGGACTGGGATAGTTATTTCGTGTTTTTTTTTTTCCCCCGTTGCAGAAAGCAGGCAGGAAAGGCGCTATCGCCTCCCCTAACGATAAGAAGCCGCCCTTGAAAACCTATTAGAGTGATGCAGCTTTTCAAGCGGTCGCCGTAGTAGTTCTGGTGTGTCACGAAAATAAAAACAAACGGGGTATGGTTGTGGCACCTTATCTACCTGGGTTTACAGTACACTTGTGTCGGAGGCATGGATTGTACGGAAGTGGATTATAATCCGCGAAACTTCTTACCGAAATTAAGTTAGTAGTCTTTAAAGTGACTCCTCTCTTTCGTTTTCCTTTTTCTTACATGCTCCGCCGATGTGCATTCGCGAATTTTGTTTGGCTACATTATCGGCGTTCGTTCCCTTTTCTTTGAAGCAGAAACTCAGATTCATTATGTTTTTTTTTTTGTAAACATCGGGGTAGTTTTTGTGCTTCTATGGTTCCTGCTGTTTTGCAGATTTAGCATTATGCTTTGTTTCGTGCTTTCAAAAGTTTTGTTTGCCCACAGGCCTAGACTGAATGGAGTTAGATGTGCCATGTAAAGGAATTACACATTTATTGCTATACGTATTATATCAATAAAAAAATGAATTTGGCTTTATCAGTGGTAATCACAATGTTAATACAATATTATAGTTACAGCTTGTGTTTTAATGGACATAATTCATAGTGAAGGAAAAAAAAACAGAATATTTATCTGTTCTAAAGCAACGTCTATTTTCTGCCCAGTGAAAGAAAACATGAAGATTAAGTGGATGACCTAGGATTATTTGCGGAAATGCTAGCCATACTGGGCATCAGGATGACATTGTGCTCAAGCAAGATGCTTACATGTACTATATTGAAATATTTTCTTTGTCTTGTCTTGTCTTATAGTATTATTGTAAAAGAGATCCTGACTCTTGTTTGATCGGTGATTCTGTTATTGAATTAAATAAAAAGTTGTTAAGAATAGCAGATGTTGATGTAAGAGCCATAGTTTGGCTTGATGACTAAAAAGAAAGACATGGTGGAGCATGACAATTTAACATGTGGTAAAAAGTCATTTTAAACCATTATTACCTCATGTTCCAGGTATAAGTGTTAGTTGTGTGTTTCTTTTAGTAGGCACTTGTAAAGTTTTATTACAGGAAGTTAACTGAAGAGAACCTGATATTTTAAAACTGTTAATATGTGGAAGCAATTGATACTTTTATAAAGGGAGTCAATTTATACATCCACCGAGATTTTTAAACAATGCTGACATTTTAGTCTAGTGAAATTGAAAGCAAATGGTGCAAGCATTCTTGCAAAATATTCTTGGCATGAAATAGCAGGAATGATTTCAGATTGAAATTAACTCGTGCCCCATATTTTGATTTATTTATTTATTTATTTATTTATTTATTTGATTTTTACCCCACCCCTCTAGACCATGTCTATGATGGCATGCGTGCGACTTTTGGAACAATATTTTAGTTTATCCCTTCCTATGGTGAGCTGTTATGTTATAATGAGAAATATATTAATTAAAAAAAATAGTGGCCTCTGTTTTGTCCATGGGACAAATATCACAATTCATATTGTAATAATGCATTTATTAAACTAACAAAAAGGCACAAAAACCCAAGAAACAAAACTGCACAGTTAGCTTTATAAATGTGCAACCTCAACATGGATTTGAAAGCATAGTTACATATCTTTTGCTTATGTGTTAGCAATTCAGATCAATGTTGCTGTGAAGATTTAATTTGTTAGGCTATGACCAAGACCACAATGCTAAGTAGTTTCCATGGAAGTAAATTTTGGTAGAGCATGTTTTCACTTTAGTTGTACATTGAGAAAGGTGGCCTAGGTCTTCAAAATACGGTATAGAAAAGTAGCTCTTATACCTAGATACTGTACTATCAAAGAACTTGCAGATCATACAACTGAAAAAGAAAAAAAACCTTATGTATCAGCAATAATTTGTGATTGCTTTGACAGTGGAGTATGATACAATGGTGTGACACCACAAAACTGTTCATATCTGTTCAAGGGTTCAGTGAGAACTCATTGAGACGTGCTTGCCCATAAGTATGTATAGCTTGTAGCCTATAGCAGTACTGTATATTTATAATAATTTTTTTTTGTTTCTGCTGAAATAGAGAATTTGTAAAATGAAAATCTGCTGTAATATCTGTTTTCAAAATGTACTGAAGTGTGTGTTGGGCATTCTGTGATGGCGGTGTGGAGTAAAATACTGTAGCAAATGTCAGGTACTTCCATCTATAGCAGTGGAACATGACCGCAGTAATTGTAGCTAAGTTGCATAATCTAATATTTTCCATCACGTTGACTTAATTAATATACTTCAGACCTAACTAAAGTAAATAAAAATTATTACTTCATTTTTGAATTTATTATTCTTACTGCTTATTTATATTCCATGATTCTATATTGAGTTCAGTAGAGTTGTTTTACTTTTATAAAACATTTAGAAAATCCAAACACATTTTGATGAGGATGGGATTAAGACAACTATTGGTTAGACTTTTATTATGCATTATTTAATTAAAATATATTTTAAGAGAACAAGTTCAGAGGGTATGTCTTAAAAATTTTTTGATCATTGATTGTTTTGCACATGTAGAAGTTTGCCATAATTACTCCACTTGCAGAGACTTTGTTCTCTTCATAAAGATTTCATTTTGTTATGTTTATTTTTATATCATTGAAATGGAAATGAACTGTGGTATGGTTATAACATTAGTAACGTTAGATAATGTTTGTTTACAAAAATACTTTCAAAAATGTAAATGTGATCAATTCTGGGGTAATATACATTTTCTATTGGGAAAGTGGAGGAGGAAAAAAATGCTGTATCTGCCAAGTTTATGTCCTACCAAATTATAAATATACTGTAACAAATTATGGCTCAAGTCCAGTTGAGAAAAACTGTACATGTAAGAGTAATTGGACAGTGATTTTTCTTCTTTGATGAGCTGTCGTTCATGAAGTTGGTCAGAAACTGGCTGTGCACCCAATCTTGCAACTACATAGTAAGTGGCCAGTTGCAGAAAGGAGAGACTGATTGTCTGGGTGGGATGTTGTTATTATTGCTACATACCATCAAGTTGCATCCAATTTATAGTGACCCTAATAGAATTTTCAGGGTGAGGTATTTAATGAGTGGTTTTGCCCCTGCGATCCAGAATCACCTAATAACTAGGATTTGGCCAGTATTATCCCAGCCTGTAAAGCTCACTGAATGACCTTGGGCAAGTCAGTGTCCCTCAGATTAACGTGGCCATTGTGAAAATTACTGCAGTGAGAATTAGTATAAAATTCATTTATGCTTGTTCATATCTGTATTACAGCACTCAAAAAATGTGTATCTAATAGCACATTTTGTTAAAAAAACCATTGTAGATGCATGCTTCAATGTTTGTAATGTAAAATCAGTTGATAGAAAAGATGCTGATGATAGCAGGGCTATTTTTCCTGTTCTTTGTTTAATCAAGAATATATAAATGATGCATAAATATGGCCATCTGACTTAATAGGGCACCTGAGTTTTTAGAGAGCGGGAGGATGCAGGCTTCTATTTCTTATAGAATTAAAATCTGGACAAAGAAATAAGGGTAGGGTATAGGCAGTGGTATCACAGGACAAAACTGACTGGAAGGTGGGTGGAAGTTCAAGTCTCTTCTGAGTCTTTCAGGAGAAATAAATTTGTCAAGACTAGCAAAGATAGAATCTGAATATATACCTCTGACTTGAGTCTGCAGCTTGCATTTTGCATCTTGTAACAGAGGAACATGGTATGCACATCTGGTCAGGATTTTTTTGAACTTCTGTTTTTTCCCCTGCACCATCCACCATACTCAGTCTGTACAGGGTCAAAAGCTAGCTTGTGTTTGTGATTTTTTTATAGTCTAATAAAAGTATCACTCAACCTTGCCTTCAAATTGTATACAAGGACACATGGTTCCCTCCCCCCTTTCCTTCTTTCCTTCCTCCCTCCTACTTTTGTTTTCTTACTTAGAGGAATTGTGAGGTCAAAAAGTGCTTAACAAGAACAGATAGAGCACAGTTAGTATCCCCTCCATTTTATAACAAGTTTATCCCTCCCTTCTACAAGGATTGCAACTTTCACACACTCCATATCATAAATGTAAATGTTATTACATAAGTATAGTTATGTCACTGGAAATTAGGACAGCTTTATATCTTTTTTATTACAAAAGAGTGTGTATTTTATTGACGTATGGTACAGTACTTTGTAGTTATTCAAAATACACTCAGGATGTGTGTTTTTATAATTTTGTTCTATTGTTAAAAGTGTCAGTCCACTCAAAGCATTTTTTCTTACCAAGCATTGACGAAACAGCATAAGATTTGTAATGTGTACCCTAAGCAAACAAGATTGATAGTGCAAAGTTTGTGGATAAATGTGCATCTTTAAATACCTCACATGGATACAGTATAGCCTTTCTTTCCTTACAGCCTAAAGTAGTCTAGAAAAAGGATACTAATAGGGTTGCTATTCTGATGTTATGTTTAAGACACAGAAGAGTTAATTTTTCTTACTGGTTTTTAATTTAGTTGTCTAAAACTCAGTCAAGTTATCTGTGGGCTGCTGTGAGGCATAACTGTATTTCATAGTATACATCAGCAGGAAAGGTCTTTCCATATAACAGAAAATATTTTGATCACCTTAACTTTCTAGGTGTACTATATCTTATAATTCTTTTGTGAATTATTTCATATTGGTTTGATAATTTGATTTAGTATATGAATAAGAAAACAGTGTTTTTCAATTTTGATATTTGACTCCTGCAACCTTCATTCATCCCTTTTGTCACTCTTCTTGGAGGACATTTTCCTTGTGCGAGCTTAAATTTCTCCATGTCTACAAAAACGAAAAAGAAGCAAATCTCTGTTCACAAAGACTGTAAGGAAAAAGTGAAAAGAAAATGCAGAAAAATAATATTGGACATAAAAACCAAATGGCAGAACAAATCAAAAGCTCACTAAAGCTACATTTTCCTTTATGGTAAATTCCATATTGTGCACTTATATGTCAGTACTGCCCTAAAACTCTTTTTTAAATTAGCCATTGATATTTATACGTACTGAGCTGCTATTTTGACAATGCATAATGGTTACCCATAACTGGACTTTAAAAACAAAACTAAAACAAAAGTGGTGTAAATAGTACTTCAGACTGAAGTGTGGTAGAATTTACAAGAAATAACTGATTCAAGCCATGAGATCCACTACAATCTCATGGCTCTTTAATATTTTCTTTCTGTTATTGCTGTTTCAGCAAATTTATATGGGACTGTACACATGCCGCTGTATTGTTGCAGTAAGTGAGTTGCAGGAATAGTCCAGTTTCTATTTATGTATTTCAGATGAAAGAATAACAACATAGTTTTTGCAGTTTCCTCATGAAATGTTGTGAAGAAACAACCGAAACAGTTTGATTTTGCCTTCTTTTTAAAGCATATGGAATCTCTTGAGGGCTTGGGTGTCCCATCTAATCTGTGTTTTATTGTTAATTCCTGTAACTATCTCGTTTGGAAGGGTGCTGTTGAAAATGGTGATTTTGTAAGTTTTAAAAAAGAAAAGGATGTTTGATAACCAGAGGACATGAACTGAAGCCAAAACATAGCCCATAGGTTCCATTATATTCTCCGTAAGTAAATTGTATAAGCTGTTTCAGGGAGGGTTAAATTGAGGAAACATATGACAATGGATTTGTTTTTCTTACAACAAAATTAGCTGGATCTCATCTTTTAAAAAAAACTGAGAATTTGATATTGCTGTTCCCAATACTAGAAACACTGAAAAATGTTTCCTTTTGTTAAAGTAAACTACTCTTCCAAGAAATTATGTACATTCACATGCCAAAAGTATGTTATGAAGTTTGGTATGCTGGTACAATTAATCTTAATATTGGTCAAAGGTACTAGTGAAGTTTCTCTCCAAGGAGGAAAGAGTTACTAAGATACAGTAGTAAGTTTGAAATTACTCTTACTTAGGGAAAAAATAACAGTTTCTGAAGAGTACTGGTCATCTAAATATGTAGAAATAGAGACTGAAGCTAGAATTCTAGTCAGTCATAATAACTTTCTAGAAACATGTGTATTATTAAAATGGTATTTTTGGTATATTCTCTAATTAGTTAAGTGCTTTGCACCTAAAAATTTTGATTTCTCCCCTCATATTTAAGATATCTGATAATGGATATATGGTTAATTTTCTTCTTTTTTGAGAAAAAAACATTGTGATGATTTGTAATAAAGATGCAATTTATTTATTATCTTAGTGCCTCTTTATATAGAATAATGTTTTATAGTGCACTGTTCTTTTAAATCCACAGTATGACCAAGTAAAGCTGTCTGCTTATATTGTGAAACTGCTGATATCTTCTATGGTTTGACAACTTACTTGTTAACATTATATAAATATTGCTGTTCTGTTGTAACAACATAGGAGACAGTTGGTTAGTCATGGGAACTCATTCCTTTGTGAAAACATTAACATATTTGTGACAGACTTAAAGGGCATCAATTTATAACTATCTGAATAGTGTGAATATAATTGTGTACAGTACCTTGTAAATATAACTATTTTTCAAGCCACTGAGTAAGCTTGAACTACTGTGAAACGAATGAAAACCCCAGCATTGTAAAATCTCCAGAAACTCCTGCTTTCCATGTATCACACCAGGGGAATGTGGAAGAGGTGTAGCATCTGAAGAACTTCTTTGCATGGGGTGGGAGGTGGGGACTGCCTAGAAAACAGTTGCTTTCAGTAAGTTCTGCATATTCCTGCCTCTGTGTGTAGTGGAGGGATTCTTTTGTCAGGGAGGAGAAGGGGCAGACAAGAAGAGAATCAGCAATACAGTAATAGGTTTTTAATCTCTAGTAGCTGCCTACATAGGAAATGTGAGTTCATACCTCAACTAGGTCTCAACTTTTCCTGGTTTGGCTGTCAACAGCCTGATCAGAAGAAAAGGGTATATTCTACACGGAATATGGTAAAGAGGAGCTTTCTGCCCACTTAGCCACACCAATATAAGGGAAAGACATCATAGAGCTTTCGTCAGCCATCACCTTAAACACCCAGATGTATTCACCAGAACAATGCTGGTTGCAGAATAATCTAGTTCTATAGAATAGTTTAGGAGGTTCTTGGCCCCTGCAGTTCACATCCAGGTTAACATCGCAACTGTGAGTTCTTGGAAATTATTCAGAATGTCTGCATCCCTACTAGAAGCTCTGAGAAAGTGTGGTTCTTAAACCAATCAAGGAGAGTGCTACAGGAACTAATAGTCTGTTATGTGCACAAATATTTAATCCTTTTCACCACTTCTGATAGAACTGCTTTTATTCAACCCCAACACAGAGACCTTGTTTCCTTCTCCCCTTTAGTGTGACTGCTCAGTTCTGCTTGTTACCAGTGTACTTTCCCCACCAAACTGTCTTGTCACACGTACTATGGCAGAAACACCCATTCAGCATTGTGGTGCAGTGGTAAAATTGCAATAAAATTCTGCCCATGTCCTGAGTTTGATCCTGATGGGCTCAGGTAGCGGCTCAAGGTTGACTCAGCCTTCCATTGTTCAATGGTCAGTAAATTGAGTACCCAGCTGACTTGGTGGGGCAATGTGTAGCTTGCATAATTAAATTGTAAACCATCCAGATTGTGCTTTAAGCGCTATGGGGCAGTATATAAGCAGCCTGGGTGGATTTGATTTAAATCAAATTGTTTAAATAATGATTTAAATTTTTTTTAAATTGGATCTTTGACAATTTAAATAAAAATGATTTTTGTTTCAAATTGTCATTTAAATCAATTTGATTTTTTTTAAAAAATCATTTATTTTTATCCACCCTGTAAGCAGCACACTTTCCTTTCCTTTCTACCTCTGCACTGTGAGAGGTGTGAACCTTTACTGTCCTGAATTAGACAGAGAGTACAAGATTCAGTCCTTCTGAGAGTTGTTAATGGCAAAGTCCTTGAACTTCATTCTTGATTAAGTTTCATGCTGACACTAGTTGAAGCAAAAATGAACTAGAGTGACAGGAGGAAACTGTTGATTTCTAGCAGCAGCATAATAATATGCAGCAAAGGGAAAGCCTTTGTTGAGCAGTTCAAGTGATGGAGTCAGTGGAAAATGAGAGTTTATGCATTTGCTGACTAGTCATCCTAAAGGGTTCCAACACTTCTGACAATTCTGTGTCAATCAACAGAAAGGTGGGTACACTACTCTCTACATTTCTGTGCTACGTAGTTCTAAATTTTTTTTTCCATTACCGCTTGTGTTGGCAAGTGCAAAGTCTTAAAAGTTGTCTGGAACAAATTTTAGCAAGCCCATAGAGGAACATGCAGAAGTGCTATAGGTACTGCTTCTAGTCATTTGGTGGGCTTCCCCTAGATTTACATGGAACTGGGCTTGGGAAATCACCAGTAGTGATCCGCCATTAAGTTTTTTTCACTCCAAAAGTTCCAACCCACAAGCCCACACCTATGACACTTTCATTTCACTCACCTGGAGAACGACTAAGGTTTCTTCTAGGCTTTCTTCTAGGCCTTTTTTCCTGCTCAAATGCTTCCTGTGGATAGTAGTCTCATTGCCCTTGACACCTTATAGAAGGGTGCCTTCTCAAGATCACACCTCTTCTGCCCCAGGGTGAATATTCTATGAAGAAAACTCTGCTATTTACTGAAACATCTAGAAATGTTTCATTGTTTTAAATTAAAAACAACTTATACTACGGTAATGGTAATAGTAATAGAATGTCATAGCCATTTAGAAACACTGTACTGTATACATGTAGTTGGTGAAATAAAGATAAGTTTGCTGGTAAGGAATCTGAATGTATTGGGAGTGCTGGAGTCCTTGTCCTAAATCCAGTATTAGTCCCAACTAGCGAAGCCTGTTGAAATCAGTGGAACTCAAATTGCTTGTGACTAAATATTATCATGCTTGTTTCAGTAGGTTGTAAGTTGGCAATAACACTGGATTTAGCTTCTTTTAAACAAGAAAAGACAAATGTTATTCAGAGTGCTGTCCTCTGAAGATGCCGGCCACAGAGACTGTTAGGAAGAACAACCTTCAGAACACGGCCAAAGAGCCCGAAAAACCCACAACAACCATTACAAATGTTATTAATACTATTAATTAACATCTACCAAAATGTTTTCTATTAGATCTGCTTCAGATTTACACATGAACTATCAATTTCTATTAAGCCACCAATGTTGTATTGTACTCTTTCATCAACTGGGCATTTGGCACATTCTTTGTCATAACCACTCTTTTCTCAGTTGGTAACGATGTATCATATTCTTTCTTCAATTTGCGCTTTTATTCATGGTCATTATATGCAGAAGTTCTCCCACATGTCCTTTGTGAGAACTCACACCTGGATAATAAATTCTTCTGTATCTTTTTCAGAATCACAAAATAGGGTGTGGAAATGAATTTTCCAGAAGTCTAAGATTATGGCCACTGGTCCCATCACCTCTTGGGAAATAGAAGGGGAAGATATGGAGGCAGTGTCAAATTTTATCTTCCTGGGCTCCATGATCACTGCAGATGGAGACAGCAGCCCTGATCCTTAATCTGTTAACTGTTGCACTCGATTAGTATTAAATCCCAAAATATTCTTCTCAGTTTGACCCATCTTTTTAAGCCTTTAAGTTTTAATAATAGCAATATTATCTGCGTTGGCTAGTTTCTGGATCAAAAACCTAGTTTTAGATTGACCCTTGCATCTTACTACTTCTCACATTTTAAAATTAGTTACCTTTTTATCTGTTCAAGGCAACATACAGTACATAACAATCCTTCTCTCCACTCTCCTTAATGAAAACAACATTATGATTGACTGAAAGTCACCCAGTAAATTTCATGGCCATGTAAGGTTTTGAAATCTAGTCAGACACACTGACTGTCATGATATACATTATCAATATCCCACTTTTGTTGGAACACAGATTGTGGAATGTGGTCTGATAAGTGGGACCTGTGGCTAAATGCTGAAACCCCTGTAGTATTTTTAGCCAGCCATTTCTTCCAAATACGGTACTTTGCTCTTCCCTTTTCGTCATCCTTAAAACTGTCACTTTATAGTCTATGGCTACATGCCCAGTCTTTACTGAGTTAAATAAACCAGATATCAGATATTTCAATAACTGAGACAGTGCCCTAATATGCTGAATATTGTTTTATTTAGGAAAGGTTACTTTCTAGCCCCTGTAGAACCCATGGAGTCTCTTGCAAATGTCTTTCCTTTCCTAAGTTCCTTTCTGCTGAAGAGTAATGCCTTCCTATCATTACACTACCCTACTGGGTAAAGTATGCTAGACCTGAAGTTGGTATATTTATTTTCCTTCTGGCTTTCGCAACACTGCCCTTTTGGTTTGGATTTGATGGTTTTTGTGCTATTCTCCCCCTCTTTTTGCCCTGCATGTTTCCAAGATACACATAGAGCTAAAGATATCAAAGAATAATAATTGGATTCTTGGAAAATAGATGAAACTCTTAATGAGGGAGAAAAGAACTAAAGATACCAAGACTGAAGAACAGCAAAATAATATTCTTTTGAGAGAAGCCACAAGCAAAAGCCAGTCTTGAGAACCAACCAGTCATGAGGATTGAAGATTTGGTGGATTGTTCTGAGATATGACATTTAGATATGTACCTAGAAGATGAAATATATTAGATTAAGCATCTTTAACCTGGCAGCCTCCCACTGAATTGTTTTATATATAATCTCTAGATAACAGAACAAAGCTCATGAAAGAGCTGGCTGAATATCGCTCATATTGTTCCACAAAATTTTGTATGTGGGATATTTTAGCAAACGGTGGAATCATTTTATTGAATCTCTGAGGCAGACTGCTCTATAATAATGCAGATGGAGAAACACTTTTTTAGTAAAGAGGCAACTATGGTGCTGCTCTTATGGACATTATTTAGAATCAATGTTTTTGAGCAAAACAGAAAGGATGCACTTTACTGGGGGTGGGGTTTTTATGTCATACCTTAATTCTGGTCAAATATGGTAGGTCAGAATTAACATTAATTCACTGAATTGTTTCTTATTCTGATATATTTCCTTTGTTAAATGGAGGATTACCTTTTTTCTCGTTGAGTTCTTTATATCTTTATTGCTAGATGTTACATTTCTATAAATGGTCATAGGCAATCAACTTAAATTAATTAAAACAGAAATTCTATCCTCATCTTTTCAGTGTAGAGAAAGAGAAATAACATTTTACTGACAGTATCAGAATTTAAAATACAGCTTTTTGTTTGCAAGATAAAATTTAAATTGTTCCACAAATTGGTTAAGTCCATTTCTCTGTTTCATGCCATGTGCAGGCAAAGATTAAAAAAACTTACATAATGTATCTAGTGACAGAAGAAAACCTGTGGTTGTCATTGCCCTTTGAAATTTAAGATTTAAATTATTCTCTGAAAGTAAAATATGATGCTTTCAGCATTAGTTCATTATTTATATACAGTAGTAACTTATATATAAGTGATTATTTACGTAGTTTCTACTTCACACATAGTATGCAATTTACTAAGTACTGTAGTTGTGCAGGAGACCAAGAGAAAATGCAAAATTTACTTTGAAAATATTATTCACTATCAGAGGTCAGATAATACACATATTTTAAAATATCTGGTCCTAAAGCAGTATTTTTGATTAAGAAATGCATCTGACAAATGATTAAAAGCATCAGTTACTGTCATCAATGGAACTTACGGACTTACAAGAACCCCTGTATTTTCCCATTCTATTTTTTTGGAAGAGTATCTTAAGCAGTGATCGTCACTTTCATAGCAGAAATTATATGAGTGATGTATGAGCCGGGGAGAAGAGGAAAGTTTTAAGGGAAGGATAAATCTGTGCAGTTGGCTGGTAATTGAATGTCACTGCTTAGTAAGCAGTGTGTTCTCCAGGCCTTCTGGAAATCTTTGAGACATTTCAGAATTGTACTACTGATTAGAATAAATTTAGCATAATAAATATTGATATTCACAAATTGGAAGCCTGCTCAGGCAGTCACTGTGTATGGTAGCTAAACACAAGCAAAGAATGTGATCTCCAGGGCACCTGTGCTGCAGTTTTTGTTCACCTTAATATATAAGGTGGTCTTCTGAGTACAATAGCTGTACACTCATTGACTGAAACCCAGTAGTTAGTTGCAGCTAGAATACGCCTACTGATTCAGTGGAACATGATAGGTATTGACTTACCACATCCTCCCTGGTAAAATTGGCCTCCTCTTCTTACTCCTGAATTTCAGCTTCTGTGTGATTGAGAATATGGGTTTTCCAGAATTCCTGACCCCATGGAGAGTAATTGTATATAATGCTCTTCTTCTCTTCAGAGGTTGTCTTATATATGTGGAGGATGATTGGAAATTTCAGGAAGGAAAGGGGATTAGCATTCTCCCCTGCTTGTGCGTTTATCCTCTCAGATTCCTAAGTACTACACTTCCTTTCTTTCTACAAAGGAAGTGCCATTGTGATGTCACTTCAAGGTTGTAGTTACTGTCTTTTGCAGAGACTATGCAATCAATAAAGAAAAATGGAAATGTGGGGTGGAAATGTCTGATAATGGAATTCCTTTCCAAGGAGATTAGATTGTTTCCATTTCTTCCAGCTAGAAGGATGTTGTTGTTCAGTCGTTTAGTCATGTCCGACTCTTCGTGACCCCATGGACCAGGAGCACACCAGGCCCTCCTGTATTCCACTGCCTCCTGGAGTTGGGCCAAATTCATGTTGGTCACTTCGATGACACTGTCCAACCATCTCATCCTCTATTGTCCCCTTCTCCTCTTGCCCTCACACTTTCCTAACATCAAGGTCTTTTCCAAGGAGTCTTCTCTTCTCATGAGATGGCCAAAGTACTGGAGCCTCAGCTTCAGGATCTGTCCTTCCAGTGAGCACTCAGGGTTGATTTCCTTTAGAATGGAAAGGTTTGTTCTCCTTGCAGTCCAGGGGACTCTCAAGAGTCTCCTCCAGCACCACAATTCAAAAGCATCAATTCTTCGGCGGTCAGCCTTCCTTATGGTCCAGCTCTCACTTCCGTACATCACGACAGGAAAAACCATAGCTTTGACTATTCGGACTTTTGTCGGCAAGGTGATGTCTCTGCTTTTTAAGATGCTGTCAAGGTTTGTCATTGCTTTCCTCCCAAGAAGCAGACGTCTTTTAATTTCGTGGCTGCTGTCCCCATCTGCAGTGATCATGGAGCCCAAGAAAGTAAAATCTGTCACTGACTCCACAGCTTTCCCTTCTATTTGCCAGGAGGTGATGGGACCAGTGGCCATAATCTT